TTGTAAATGTGCAAGCCAGCTGGGCAATAATCAAGATGACTAATCACCCTCAGGGTTATGTGACTCAGGGCGTAAGCAATAGCATTTAGCTTCATGACATGCATCTTAGTCAGCTTCATAAAGGATTCATTATTTCAGAAATGTGAGGGACTTACAGTGGTGTTATACACGGATTTTATTTAATGAAAATTAAACTCACTGCTATGAAAAAGCCAAGTTAACTGTGGCAGGGCCAATTTTACAAAACTTGTACCCATGAATCAGACTATCATTTGCACATATGCCCTTGATCCTAATATCTACTAAAACAGCAATGAATTAGACAGAAAGTCTCTGAATGTCTTTATGTAATGTGATTTAGTAAAGGTCCTAAAGAAACCAACACATATTGAGAAATGAAATTTTAATTAGTAACATGTAATCTCTTCAAGATGAACAGTGGGATTATAATTTAACAACAGGTAGCAAGTTAGGGATTTATTAATTTTTTTGTTATTTTACCACATTTAGGTATTATTTGAAGTTACTATATTAGCATTTGTGTTGTATATTTAACTACCTGGTTCTCTTCTTATGTTCTGTCATAAGATAAATTACATTTATCTGCAAAAACCAATTACTTCTTTTTCCCTTTCAATAGGTACCAAACAGTTTTGTTTTTATTTTTTTGTCTTTTCTGTAGAATGAGAGGTTTATTTCATTAAGATGGCCAAAAGAGCAAGATATTTCAGGTAGATTATCTGGCATAACTTCATACTAATACAATGATGATTAAACTAAAAATGGAACTCTCCAGTAATTATAAAACCTTGAGTTAAAAAGTGTGACAAAAGCTGGGCGTGGTGGTGCACGCCTGTAGTCCCAGCACTCGGGAGGCAGAGGCAGGTGGATCTCTGTGAGTTCAAGGCCAGCCTGGTCTACATAGTGAGTTCCATGACAGCTGGGGCTATAGGGAGGCCTTGCTTCAAAAAGACCCCCCACCAAATGTGATAAAAGTTGTTTCAATTCAATTTAATGTCCTTCTAAGACAGGCTGTAGGGCAGACTAGCAGTGATGTACTCTGCACTAGTATTCAACCTTTTGTAACTCCTTCGGTATTACAACTTAAGCTCTTAGATGAATGACAGCTAAGAATCTGCTCTAACTTGCTTCATGGGGACTGGATAGTGTGCTTATGCGACTTCCTTCTCCCTGCTGGTAGGTTGAGTTTCTGTAAACATCAATTTTGGTAGAACAGCTGTTCAGAAGAGCTGTATTGAAAAAGAAAAGGACTTTTCACTAATGAGGCAAATGTTATGTTAGCATTCCACTTGAAGATCCAGATTCTAGCTCAGACATTACTTCTCCTTCAAGAGTGAAAAGACAGCTACTATTGTGCTAAACAAGTAAGTTACTAGGCAAGGCAATTTTCTACTGATAAACCATATTCATGAACAACTTCTAACATCTAACATCTACTAACAAGCTCTCAAAATATCCTTCTGCCATCCATTTTTATTTTTGGATTTTTGTAAAGAGATCATAAAATCCTTGAAGCATAAAACGAAATCTTCAGCTACAATGATATCCTTTATGTCTAGGGACTAGTAGGGGTTCTCATAACATGTTTGGTGGGGTCCTTAAAAACCAAGCTATTTTTACAATACTAAGGGGTTATTTTCCTTTTCTCACTCTCTTCTTTCACAGGTAGTTCATTGCACAGTGGAATTTTTCATACCTTACATGATGTTTACATGTAATAAATGGGTCTATTGTTATTTATAAAAATGGATACATATTTTAAGAATGTATTCATTATTAAAACTTACTATACTTAATAATTAAAAACTAGTATCTGACATTAATTTATAATATGGTAAATACCATTTCGAGCCATACAAATAAAAGCTTTTTAGGATCTTCAATAATGTAAGAGCAGAAAGGGCATCCTAAGATAAAAAAAATTTGAGAAGTATTGCTCTAAACAGTGCAAGACTGCACCTGTATGATGCTCCCAACAAGTGCTTTGTCATCCAGAATGCTTATTTGAATAATACTTTAACATGTAAATAGTGATGTGTTCTAAGGTGGAAACATTAAAAAAATTTTACATTTGTTTATTTATTTATTTTTTGTTTGTGTGTGTGTGCCACAGTGTGCATGTGGAGGTCAGGGGACAACTTGTAGAGCTGGCTCTCATTTCCTGGGCTTGAATTCCAGCCTTTAAGGGTTGGCAGTAAGTGCCTTTACCTGCTGAGCCATCTTATTGGGCCCCCTGAAAATATATAAGTAGTTTTCAAACTGAAATCCGACTGAATTTTGTTTGCTCTTTTAAATGAAAGTATGAAGCATGATTTAACAAGTTTTTAAAATTATGACAAAACGAAACATCCCTAGCAGAAAGTGCAGAGTGTTGGGTGTAAAAATCACAAATCATAAAGCTTGCTGGGCAGGTCTATAGAAACCTTAGGACAGTCTGCTCATCTGCTTTCTTTCTTTTCTCATCAGTTTCTTCACTTCATACCATGGGTCACTCAATTCATTTGT